ATGATTATGATATTTAACTCATTCAAAACACTTCATTTTGGTCAATAAAGTTAGTAATAAAAAAGAATGTGATTATTAATTACCAATAACCTTATTTAAATTTTGAAAATTCAAATTCTTACCTTCACAATTGAAATCTCATATTCTAGAGGAAAAAAAAGTGAAAACTAACACTTGTTACTTCAACCGAGTGATTATATTCTCATTTTTTGTTTTTTGTTTTTCATTTTTTCTCTCTCATTTATTTTATTTGAATAAATAAAAACAAACACATATTTTTTATTTTCTATTTCTGTTAAACAAAATAAGAGAAAAAGGTATTTGAGAATCATTTTAATCTAAAACATTGATTTGAGGGAAAAAAAGTTTATTCCAAATTTAAAATACAAAAGAAAAGAAGAATTCTCTGCTTGAGAAGGAATGAAATCCCCAAGGGAGAATCTTTTGGACTGGCAATTCAGATGGGTTCTATATACGGCCCGAAAAAAGCCCAAATATTTATGTGGACAGAACCAAAGCCCACCACCAGCTGGAGCCCAAAGCCCAAATTTTATCCAGTCTCGTCAAAATTAACAAGGTCAATATATATATATATATATATATATATATATATATATTATTTGAATGTTAATTCAAAAGAAAAAAAATTAATAAAAAAAACTCGACTGAAGCTTGATTTAATTATTAAATAAATATAAAACATGGAAACCTTAAATCAATAATTTATCTTAAAATTCTATAAAATCCTATAAAATTCTATAAAATCAATCAGTTTAACATAATTTTTTGTAAGGAAAAAATAGATTTGAAGTAAATCTATTTTGTGTGTTAACAAATAATAAAATTCATTTTGAAACCACTTCAAATCACGATGAAACAAATAAATCAGTCGTGAATCAATATGAGCATGGCTGCTCACGGATAATGTATTTGCCATCATTTTAGGTCTCGTTTGATAACGTTACCATTTATTGTTTCTAGTTTCTAATTTTCTTAAGAAATCTAAGCGTTTTGCCACTAATTATGTTTCTTGTTTTTACTTTCTTGGAACATTCTCACAAAATTATATAGAAATTTTGGAAATAACCAAAACAAAGTTTGTTCTTTTATATTTCATTTTTCAATTTGATCTGAAGTATAAATAAAAGATTGTTTCACCATACTTGAATTCATAGATGTTGGAGACATACTATTCATTTCCTTTTTATTAAAAATAAAGAAAAAAAAGAAACAGAAACTTAACAAAATGAGCTTTTAAAGTTTAGTTGGTATGCACACACACACACACACACATATATATATATATATATATATATATATATATATATATTTTAGTACAATATGTTGGGAGGAGATTCGAACTTACAACCTTTTGGTTGTATATGTCAATTAAGTAGGTAGGTAAAAATTTTGGATTTTTTTGTATTTATTATAATTTTTAATTTATAATTAAAATAAATTTTAGAACTTTTAAATGTTATAATTTAAACATGAAATAATTTAATTCTTTTCATTTATTAGGTATAATATATTTTTTTTAGATCAAATACTAAACATAAATATATAGAAATATATTTAAGAAAGTAAATAATATTTATAAAAAATTGAAATATATATCAATATTCAAATAAAATGTAACTCAAATACCAGTTACTTAAGTAAGGTAGCTTGCTCCTAAAAAAAAGCAGGAACGAGACAACCCGGGGAACCTCCTAGAAAAAAACTAGTAACTTTATCATTAAATTATATTTAATATCTCTYTTTGTCAAAAGGGGATGTAGCTCAGATGGTAGAGCGCTCGCTTAGCATGCCAGAGGTACGGGGATCGATACCCCGCATCTCCATTTTTCATTTTCTTTCGTTTTAATAGTTACGTTGGCAATTTTAGGCTTACCTYCTCTCTCCTCATAATAAAGTACTTTTTTCTCTCCTATGAGCTTTTTTTTCTTTTAATTTTTTTTCTTATTTTCTTATTATTATTATTGTATATATCTTTTTTGAGCTATGTTCAGGTTGATTTTTTTTAGCGATTTTCTTCAATTTGTAAACATTAATGGTTTTCTTTTTCAAAAGAAATTTCATTCTACAACATATTTTAATATACATATATTAAAATAAATTGTATTATGTCACAATTTTCTTTTCAAATAAAACATAAAATTGACGTCTTTTTGCATATTTTACCTACATTTAAAATTGACTTTTGTTGATATTATCTTTATAAAAAATTTTAAATTTTCTACCATATTTATTTTATGCTTTTTATGTAATTATTTATTTTTGAATAAGAGATTTCAAGTAATTATAACCATTTTCATCCTGGAGATGAAATGCTTAGAAAAATATCAAATAAGTTTCTTCAAAGAAAAAAAAAATGTTATATGRATCGAGGATTAATAAATCTCTACTTCTTTTAAAGCGCTATGGTTTCAATCTGCCACTCTTTCTCCCAAGTAATATTTTAAAAGAATAATAATTTTAAATTTAGTATTTTCTAACAAGACTAAGATATATTTGCATATCTCTCCATATCAATTCTCTACATAAAAGATAAATATGCACAATTTATTTATTGAAAAAAATCTACAAAAAGATATACTTTGTACGATTGAGATTACATGTAAACTTAAACAAACTTAAAATTTTTTTAAATGAGTGTTAATAATTTTATAGTGGATGGGTACAAGAAATTGTAGTTAATTAAATACAATAAAGGTAAAGATCCCACATTTGTCATATCATCCATGCTCCAACTTTGAAATTAATAGGATTTTTTTTTCTTTTCTTATAAGAATCCTACTAACCCATCAAGTGTTTTCAATAAACAAAGAAAAAGAAAGGAATCTACTCATCTATGTGATTGTGAATCATATTCCTTTTGAGTTTAAACAAGTGCAAAAGGGCACTTAATGATTTCTTTTCAATTATTCCTCAGCTATCAACTCTTTTGGGGTTTTTTTAGAGAGATAGAGAGGGAGGGATTCTAGAAGTCTATCAACTTTGTTTATGTCAAAAAATTCACTTCCAATTCCCTCGCCACGAGACAAAACACGAGACATTTATTAAGAATGAGTACAAACATGGGTTAGTTTCATTGCTAGTGTTTTCACATTTTAAGAATTATGCTGGGTGGTTAATTTCATAGTTGGTAGTTAATTAGCAGTGGAAGAGCTTATGTAAGTTGGGGGAGTTCGAAGGCTTTGTGGCTTAGTGGATTAGTATTGTTGGTTAGAGAGAATTTCAAGGATAATGGTCGGTTTAAACAATTCTGATTTTAGTGAATATATGTGACACGCCCTAGTAGTCGTAATGAAAAATGTTACCTGAATGAACTAACACCACATACGAATAAAAGAGGGATGTTGAGATCATGCAAACATGGTTAAAAAAACGGTTAAGAAAAATTTAACATAATTGATATAGTAACTATCTATACTAAAATGGAGCTCAATCATAAGAACTCCAAAAGTTAGGTGTATTTAACTTAAAACAACCTTAGGCTTGTGCTTGTGTGACCTCTCAAGGAATTTTCTTGTGAAATATGTAAGGGCAAATCATCAGGAAAGAACTTGTGTGGGTCTGTAAGGATGTTTGACACTTATAATATTTTCGAAAGTGGATCTTCTAATTGTAAATTCCAAGTCGAGAGCTTGACTAAGTTAATCATTATTTCGTTATGAATCTCTAACAACCCGGCCTCATTTCATATTAGCTAAAATCTTTGGTCTAAAAGAACATATTTTGTGACTCCACAGCACTCTAGTGATCAGTTTCTCCAGCCACTTTCACCTCAAAAATGACAACAAAACAAAAAGAAAATCATTTGGGATCTCATTTTGATTTCATTTTGCAGCTTCAAAACAAAAGTTTCATTAGTTTGCTTTATTGTGAGAGTTTTTGGGGTCTGAAGGTGAAGATATCAGATTTGGATCCATCTGCAATCTTCAAAGCAAACCACTATCTTTTCCCAAACTTGAACCACAAAACAACACCTGTCTCTCCCAGTGACGTTTGAAAACAAATCAAACACATTTTACATTATAATAATGCCCCAGTTTGGAATCCAACTAATGTAATGTAATATAATCAAAAAACCAATCTCTTTAAACCAAGTAACCCCAAGGAAACAGATGGTGAGCTCCCATTGGCCATTTCAGATGAAATTTCCTTCCTATTTCTTTCTCCTCTTTCTTTTTCTTTTTCCTCTTTTATAGCTCTCACTTTAGCATCAAAAGAACATTTTTATCCATTGAAACATGTCACCTGATGTCTTGGCAGCTGTTCGCTTCTTGCTGCATTGAATCTGGCCACCATGGTTAATGACACAAAAGAAAATGAAAAAAAAATAGCAAATTTACTTAAAAGTTATGTTGTTGTTGACACATCATAGTCGAGAATCCAAAGTTCATCACAGCAGAATATCAAAAAAAAGGTTTAGTGGTATAATTTCAGTTAATTTCAAATTGATCCTCCAGTTTAGTGAAGTCTTGTTAATCATTTTTATCATTGTCATATTGGCACATTTTATGTTTTTTATTTGAGATTGTATTATTCTAAGGAGAAAGGACCAAACAAAAGTTTATAATAGATATGAGTTACTTCTTGCATTGTTAATTGGTTTTGAAATAAAATTTCATGAATATCAATATGGTATCATAGTCCAAAAGTTTAAACGAGCATCGGATCTAAAAATGGGATCCGATCAAACAYGATAAGCCAAAAGAATTATGATCAACTATTCCTCTCATTGTCCATAATTTCTTTTAAAAAAATAAGTGATGCTTTTGAGTGATAAAAAAGATAGTTTAGAAATGATGGGTATGGTTTAAAGACTACAGGGACAAAATTTATAGTTTACAAAAAGCAGAGTATCTGGGTACTTGAGGCCGTGGCTGTGAGCGTGTATTTTGGTAATTTCCACACTCCAAAAGGATAGAGATGATTTGAAAATGACCCATGAAAGAGAATACAGGTATAAATAAGGAGCAAACACTGAAGCCCAAGATGCCATAACCATAGAATTAGGGAGACAAAAATAGTACATAAAAGCATCACAGGAGAGAAGAAGAAGAAGAAGAAGAAGAAAGAAGAAAGAAGAAAGAAGAAAAGCAGTTGTTTTTTTGTTTCTTTTGATGTTCAACTTGGGAACAATGGTAGGCCACTGGGGTTGGGGTGTGATGGAAGATGAAGTTTGGAGGAAAGGGCCATGGACTGCTGAGGAAGACAAATTGCTCACAGAATATGTCAGAATATATGGTGAAGGAAGATGGAACTCTGTGGCTAGGCTTGCAGGTTTGTTTTTTCACTTTTCCATTGCAAATGAAATGAGTGAAAAGATAGAGCATTAATTTGGTTGATTTTATGGCCTCTTTGTGCAGGTTTGAAGAGAAATGGGAAGAGTTGCAGACTGAGATGGGTGAATTATCTGAGGCCTGATTTGAAGAGAGGCCAAATAACCCCACATGAAGAGACTATAATTCTTCAGCTTCATGCTAGGTGGGGCAACAGGTAACTAACACTTGAATGGGGCAATTGCCTTCTCTTTCCTTCTTCTTTATGGAGTTGTTATGTTTATTAATTATGGAGTTCCCGGCCCGGCTCGACTCAGGTGGTCGACGATTGCTCGAAGCCTGCCGGGGCGAACGGACAACGAAATAAAGAACTACTGGAGGACCCATTTCAAGAAAAAGGCAAAAGACCCTTGTGATGTCAATGGAAAGGCCAAAAGTCGGCTGCTCAGAAGGCAGCAATTTCATCAGCAACAACTGCAGCAGCAGCAGCAGTTTAATGCACTGGAAACGAGCAAATTCAAGGCTGTGTTGGAAGAACATGACAACAACAAAGAAGCATCAACTTCATCCTCTGCCTCAGAGGCAGAGATAATGAAGCCAGAACTCACGAATTTCCACTCCCAAGCAAGTGATCAGTATGAAGAGAGCCTGGTCTCAGAGCTCAACAGCCATGGATTTCTGCTGCCAGAGGTGTTGAGTGATGGCTTCCTCTGGGATGGGCTGTGGAGCTTGGAAGATGTCTATGGCAATGGCCAAGCTCGTGGAACAAGAGTGAGCATGAGCAATCTGGTTGCTCCCTTTTGGTAGAACTTTTTCTTTTGTTTTCTTCTTCTGAGTTGGTTTTGAATTTTACAAGAAGAGGATTTTGAGCCAGAGCTTTGAAAACCATGGCTTTGGAGTTCAATAATGAAATGGAGAATGATGGAAGTTTGAAAAGTTGATGTTCTTTATCGAACAAGTCGAGTCATCATTATTGACTGTTGTGTTTTTGGATGATCAAGTTTTTAATGCTTGAATCTGTAGCCTTCAATTACAACACAAGAAATAATAATATGATTATTGATTAGTTGTGTATATCTGGATGTTGTAAACTTCAGATATCTTGTTTTCTTTGAGTTAAAAGTGGATATCTTATTTATGTACTTGGAAAATATTTGGTTAATAACTCTTAATTTATAAAATTTAAAGGGGGAAGAATCTAAATTATGTAATCTATTGTATAGATGATGCAGGCAAATAAATTTGGATCCGATTTCGACACCCATCTAATTTGTGATCTAAGTAAGATTTTAATGAAATCTATAATATATAAGAAAATATAAAAAAGAAAAAGAAAACTTGTAAGAGAATAGTATTTGTTTGAATATAAAAAAATTTAAAAAATTAATACTAAAAGACATCCCATATGAAGATAAGAACAAGAAGTTCTTAAATCCAATGATTTCAAATGCGATGTAGGGGATTTCCAAAATCACCTTTATTTATAATATATCCTTTAAAGTTGAAAGTATTTTAACCTTAAAAATGTAATCTTGATAACAAGCATGCTTCAATAGATATTATTATTATTATTTTAATGTTAAGTTATATTCTCAATATCTTTGGAAAGGTATATGTACTCAAACATCCATCCTTCCATTAAAAGTGTAATAATGGATGCATAAATATCAAATATGAATTATAGTCCAATTCAACAATAATACATTGTTACATCATCATCACAACAAAATATATATTTTAAGAACCAGCATTTTTTACTTTTTTTTTTTGTCATAAAAAAATTCTTTGAATTATTTTTGTTTTTACCTATATTTAATACCTATGCAAGGTTTTCAAGGTCTCAATTTTGTAAAAATATAGATGGATGTATGATGAAATTTTTATAAAATTTATAAAAATAAATATTCTGAATAAATATTTAAAATAACACATAAATATTTCCATGGGTTAAATGAGCCTTTTCCTCTTAGGTATCGAGTCATTTGGTTGTTTTCTTGTTTTTTCTTTAAGAATATTGCAGTCCAGACTAAGAGATTGGATCTAGATTTGAAGCTAAAACCTTAGGAGATTGAATATCATTTTGACTTATATTAGTGATGTAAATATACATAGATTAGAAGAGGCAACTGGACAACTCCTTTGTTTCAATTGCACATCAATATTATAATCCTGCTCATGCTTTTCTTTGCATTAGGAAGGTGGTCACATCACACACTCATCAGATTCTTCTTGCCAAACAAACTTAAACACAGAAATTTGCCCTTCCTCCACAACCCCATAAAACCCGATACRGGTCGAAAAGCGACGAACGGGAGGAACCCGAGACTCATCTTGTTCACCATACCAAAGAAAGCTGATGCATCATAAGGCTAGTCTTTCATATGTGTTTGAACCATTTGGAGTAAAGATTTGATTCATTTACAACTAAGGGAATGAAGTTGAACTGTAGAATCTGAAGAGTCATACATTTCCTTCTTTCTATTCTCTGTTCACAAGATAAGATGCAGAAGAAACTAGATCTTTCACACCTGCATCTCGGATTCCCTCTCGCGTCGATAGACATATACAGAACCACTATACATGACTCGGCCGACCCTTCTATTTTTTCTAGATCTTCTACTCATTACTCTCTTCTTTTCTCTTTCGACAACGGGCGATGTCGTGGGTACAAAATGGATCCAGATCAATGGCAATAAAGCTGCAATGAACTGTATCAGAATCCCCACAGGCAAGCTTGAGTAGTTACCTGATCTTATTCCAATCAAAGAAGCCAACCCGATACCGAAAAAACCGCTTACTATGGAAGACAAGCATACAGCTGATGCAAAAAACGAAATGAGAGACCCTTCACAACCCTTTGGACTTAGGTTTGCAAAGATTACAGAAAATGGTAATAGCTTAAACTGTGCAATGGTTTCAGCCAAACCCGAAAAGCAGAGAGCAAACATCTCATTGGAAATGCCCAGCTTAAGGTTGATCTGTTTCACCAAAACCAAGTCAAAAAGTAAGGAAGAAGCGTACAAAATCTGCACCATGCCAATTAGCTTTTTCATGGATACTCTTTTCCAATGGCGGTCGTAAAGTACGGTGACCGAAAGAAGCACCAATTGGCTAACCACTCGAGACATCCCGATGATCGAAGGATCAAGATGAAGGCATTGTGTTTGGTAGCAAAAGATGGAGCCTGATAGAACAGGGACCATGGCAATGGAAGCTACAATCCAAGTCAGCGGGAGAAATACACTTTGATCACTAACAGCAGTTACAAGGTCATTTATCTGATTTCTGACATTCTCCATGATTGATTTCCCATGAACATCAGGTTCTGAAAGTTGGAGCAAACCAAGAGATTCCTCTCTTGTAGCAGATGAAATTGAAAGTTGGAGGGAAAGCAGAATAGAAAACAAAAGAAACATTTTTCTAGGTGGTGAACTCAGTAGGTTATATCCACCAATGAAGTTGCCTAAGATTCCACCAACAGCTAAACCCATAAATGTATAAGATTGAAGGCCACAAATTTTGTGTGTTTGGCCATATTCTGCAACAAGTGCATCCTTTGCAACTTCCGTTATGGATGCTCCAAGATTACTTAGAAGAACACACGCCATTAAGGCAGGAAGGGCTTCACCTGCCACAGGGATCAATGCCAGAGATCCCCAAGATAGGACCTGCAAGAGTACTGAAAAAAGTTCTCAGTTAGGCTTTGATCAATTAGCAGGCACATTCACATTCTCTAAAATGAATCTTGGGTCTGAATTGCAATCCTGTTTGCACGTAAACATAACACTAAGATGCTTAAAATTCCTATTGGAAGGCCGCAGAAGAACTTCAAAGTTGAAGCTAAGAATGCTTCAGAGTTGTTATTAGGAATAAGAATCAAGAAACATCATCATCAATCATCTCATGTCTATATTTACTTTGGAAGTAATAGGCACATTATTTTGATTACACTCAACGCAGAGTGGAATTCAAGAATAACCAAACCAAATGAAAGAGAAACTCAGCATACCTCCAATGGAAACATAAGGCACTCTACGAGCGCCACCAATATACAGAGCATCAGAGAGTATTCCATACAAGGGTTTGGCGACCATGGGAAGGTTCCCAGAGTTCTGCACCAGCTGCAGAGTAGAGGGATGGAGATTAAGGTAATGGGCCATGTGGAAGTTGAGGGCCAGCCATGGGAAGCACCTAAAACCCTGAACCCAATACCCAAGGCCGCAGAGGAGCAACATTCGGTGGCTACCCACAAGAGAAGACCCTCTTCTTCTGCCATTTCCCTCTCTCTTCTCGCCTTCTCTGTACAAACCACGAGCTGGGTTGTTCTGCAGAAGCGTGTTGGTGAAAATGCCGATGGGTTTTGATGGGGTTTGGATGGAATTGGGGTTTCGATGGTGCAAACAGAGGATGGGCTTTGGTGGGGGTCTGGCGAAGATGGGTTTGAGAGAGGGAAAGGGATTACCAGGGGCGATTAGTGAGCAAATCATGGGTTTGGCTTGGAAAGTGGAAATCTTCCGGGCTCTGAGGGAGAGAGAAAAGGGGATTCTTTTAGAATGAGATGATGGCGGAATTAAATATTAGAAATTGGAAGTTGGAAGTGAAGAAAAAGAGAAGAGTGGAGAGCAGAGGTTTGGGGGTGATGCCATGTTTGTAAGGGTGGCACCTGGAAGCGCTGGACTCCTCCATTTTGTCCTCGCTTCTGCTCCAAGATTTCCAAGGGTCCACTCGCCACGCGCCCTAATTTCCAATGCTCCTTCCTTACCAAATTGATTTTTTTTTTTCCCAGACACACAGATTCAAATTTCTAATTTTTTAATCAGAGGTCATGTATCTTTAATCGAGAGGTYACCGTTCGAATCCTCCGTCCCTATATATTGTATTAATAAAAATTCTACTGTAATTAATGTTTAATTAATCACTTTCAAAATAGTTCAATAGATAAAAGTTATGTGCCAACACGAGCATAGTACATTGGTACCTACTCCTCTTTTAGGTTGGAAGATCAAACTCCTTTAAAATTAAATAATTTTTTTTTATAAATATACTATTTCATGCTATAAATTCATTTCTTTTTAATCTAAAAATGTATAAGACAGTATACTATGTCAATCAAGTTTAGTTGGATACGGACATTTAATACCATCCTAGATATCGTGGTTGGATCTTCCACCAAGCATTTGTTGAACTAAAAAGAACTATATTATAAATTATACAATATTGTAAAGAGAGAATGTAGGAGGAATATTCAACTAGTACCAATAATATTTAATTAAACAAAACTCCTAGTATGTTGTATTAGATAAAAATAAAAATAAAAAATCCCGATATCTTGTACTAAATAATTATTTGTAGTTCTAGGTATTCTAGGACTTATAATTATATTTTAAACGGCTACATGTATAAAAACTATTTATTTCTTGAACAAATGTATACAAATTATCTATTCTATGAATTTTTGTGTTTCTTTTATTTTATGTCTAAAATTTAGATCCTAAATTTAATCAATTCTATTTTAACTTCTTTATCTTTGGCACTTTTTCTTTATTTATCCTCTAGCTTTTAATATCTTAACTTGAATATAATTTTAATTCTAAAATTAAAATATATATACACACGATAAGTTTTTGAACTTTTAATTTTGTATCTAATAAAATTTTTATTATTAATTTCGCAAACGATGCTATCTGATAATAAGTATCTCTATGTTTGGATAGACAATAATAAGTTATATAGATGGTAAGTAGTAACAAACACTATTAAATATTAATTATATTAACGTTAATAGGAATCCTCATAAAAAAAAAAAAAAAAAAGAAATTAAAATTAATAGGAAGGCTGGTGAGTTGATGAGAAGGGTGTAGAGCAAAGGCGAAGGCGGGGCCCACAAGGATCCGTTTGGCCGTCCGTCTCACGAGAACTCGATTTTATGGGAAGAAAGAGAAACGGCGTGAAAGGGACCTGTTTGTCTTTTCACCCACTTTGAGATGACGAGCACGCGCCAGTGTATGTCACGTACGGCTCACAATCGACGAGAGCCTCAACTCGCGAGCTCTGCGCGTGGGAATTTCGATAGATTTGGCTTTCGCTGACTAATGACGTGGCGCCCTCTCGCTTTAAACTCAAAATTAAATGGCAGGTTTAATCCGCACCGTTTAATTGGTCAACGAAATTAAAATAAATAAACAAAAAGTATAAAACTAATTTTTTTTTGTTTGAATTATAAATTTAGTACATGATTCCATGCTATCTTATTTCGTGGAAATTAAAAAAAAAATATTTATATTTAGCTCTGATATCCCTCCACAGAATGTGGATGAGGATTAAACTTCATACCTCTAAGAAAAAAGAGCAAATGAGAGATATTATGAGTTATTAACAGATAAAATGAATAAAAATTAACATCTTGAAGACGTGAAAGGACTATAGTAAAAAGAAAAAAAAACACTAAAAACAAAGGGATCAATAAATAGCTACATATCGCATGGAAGCTTTAAGAGATAGAGGAGTCATTCACCAAAATGTCTTAACTGTTTTCAAAAAGAAAAAAAGTCTTAATTGAATTATGCTAATATGCTGGCAACGTGACAATTAGATGATAGATACAAGTAGACATCTGAACATAATTAATTTATATGAAAAAGGGACATACACGTTCATAAACCAAATGACGAACTAATGTTGTAGTTAATGCACAACCAGCCATTTCAATAGAATAAACTAATGTTTTATGTACTATTCATGTTTATCTCCAGTGAAGCCAATATTTAAAATGATAGGAAAATTAATATCTATTAATTATACATCTACATATCAACAGGGCCGCAAACTATTTCAACAAGCCCGTCTAGCTCAGTTGGTAGAGCGCAAGGCTCTTAACCTTGTGGTCGTGGGTTCGAACCCCACGGTGGGCGATTTTCAAATTTTAATTTAATTCAACCACATAAAATAGTTGATAACTTTTGAGTCAATTTGATCTTTTTTATCTTTTAAAATTCTTAATTTTAACAGCAACATATTAATTTTATTTAGTTAAAATATTCATATTATATTTTTATTTTAATTCAAATAAACAAAATAGTCCACAACTTTTAAGTAATTTCCAATTTGATTTTTTTTATGTTTTTAAATTCTTAATTTTAACCTCAAACATATTAAAATTTTTCAAATTTTCAATGAAGTCTATTGAAAGAAGCTAACCAAAGTATAGCTCATACTAATACAACAGCCTTGTTTGATGTGATCTTATATGAACAGTACTGAATCACAACAACCAAAAGCCACAAATGATTGGCAAAATACAACATTCACTTCACTACCAGTACCACCACTTTGTTCAACACACCATTCTAAATGTTTTAAATCACAGGAACCAAAATCTCTGGTTCCCTTCCAGTCCCAATAAATGACTCAACTTCCCAAGTAAAATTCCCAATCAATCGAGGCCATCGGCAGAGATGGGATCATGGCGCCAGATCGAATTCTGCATCCAAGAGATGACGAACTTCATCGAGCGATGATACTTTAAAATCTGGTTCGAGATCCAGGTTGGCATAATCCGCTGGGTTGTACCTTCCTGTTTCGTCAAGCAAACATGTGAAAGCTCCTGCTTGCTTGCCACATCCCACCTGCCATAAGTGAATAAGGAAGCCAATTTTTCACATATAAGAGCAAACTACATATCCTACGGTAGTATGAGAGAAAGAACTAGAGAAGTAATATCAGTTGAAAACCTAATTAACTGATCAAATACACTCACATCATCTCTGAGGCTATCGCCGACCATAATGACTTCATTAGGCAAGACATCCCAAGAAGAGCAGATATGTAGAAGAGGGGCCGGATTTGGTTTATAGGAACCAAATTCTCTGCTTAGTGCTGGATAAAATGTCCGCTGCAGCAGAAGCTAGTAATTACTACCAAGGACAACATCAGGACAAGGATTTCAAACTTTTTTAGTGCAAGCAATTTCATCAGAAAATGAACTGAGGATAACATAAATGGGGGAGGGAAGCCTCGACCCTAACCAAGGAAGTTAAGAGGAAAAGATTTTTCAATTCGTACAATGAGAAGTGGTACTATAATTACAAAAAGGGTGGTTGTGTTTACACCAAGACATATCCACAATAGTGATTTGATCCCACAAAAAAGTGATTTTCCCATCAAAGTGAAGATTATTTTGTTCCTTTCGTTCCATAAGTCCAAAGAAAAGATCTAGTAAAACTGAACCAGAGGATTTTAGCTTGCTTTTTGAATGCATGACCTTCAAGGAGGAAGAAAAGAGAGCCGTTCGCCAGGAGCAAACCATCCACACTCTGGGAAGATATACTTCCAAATTCGAGAAGCCAATTGACAGTGAAAAAGAAGGTGGTTTTGAGTCTCCACTTTAAATACTCATGCATTAAATTTGGGAGCTCTTGATTTGCAGAGTTTTTGAGAGAGAGAGAACATGAATAAAAGGGAAACTTTTTCTGTCAGTAGAAAGACCTTGATTTCTAAGGCCATAGCAGTGTGGGCTAGCAATTGAGAAGTTGCTAGTCCAAGACATGCAGAGCCGCCAGCCATTTTACGCAAATAATGCTTGAAGGGAGAATCATCAACAGAGAAATCTTCTAAGGGACTCTAGGATTTTCCATGTTTTAATGTCCTAAGTAGGTGACAAGAGTGTTGGATCCCTGAGGCCTGAACACAACAGATGAAATTAAGTCCCAACTGCCCAAATCAGGATGAAAGCACTATTATAGTTATTCGAAAGTAAATTAATTACTGTGGTTGTGATTAGGAAGAGAAACCTCTTGCTCCAAATCCCTCGTTCTATAATAATGGAACACTATGTTGGGAAATCAATTGAATTTTGATCTACATATTTGTAGGTCTCACTATCTGTGAACCGGCGACTTCCTAATAGCTCAAGTTGCTCCAATTCCAAAAGATCACAGATAACTATAATTATAATTCTGACAGAGAGTCTTATAAGAAAATTCAATAAACTTACACCAAAACGCTGATGAAAAAGATCAACAGCTTCCTTTATATTGCGAGTGATTAGTCCCGTCCTAAAATGTTAGCAAATGATAAAACACATTGGCATTACAAATCAAAAAAAGGGAGAAAGAAATAAAATGTAACACCACATACATTTGCACAACAAATGTTCCTAGCCTTGTGCAAGTGGACACAAAGTTATCACTAAGTCCGTTTACTCGAAATGCAGTGAATTGCAAAATTTCGCTTTTAACATCTTTTATAAATTCACAAGCATCTCGTGAGACGAATACCAAATAAATTTAAAAGAATCACCATGTTGGACCCTTATCTTCCTTCTTTTCCTCTTCTCCTAGCATCCTTTTTCCTTTTATATATATATATTTTTCTGGTAAGTTAAAATGAATAATCAGTGTATGTGGGGTGGGGGGTGGGGTATATGATTCTACCAACTTTTAAGTATATCACGGAAACATACTGATCACAAAATGCAAGCAACCAACCATGGGGAGAAGAAAGCGATTACCTTATTTTCTTAGAATCAAGAAAGGCACAAAGTTCTGCAGCACCTGCACGTATAATGATCAAGAATTTGGTTGAGATAACCAAAGACCTAACTTCTGAGATTATAAGTAACATGGAATCTGGAGGGGTAAAATCTCCCATCTATCTAAGCTGCTGATAAAAAGGCGTTAGTAAAGAACGAACACAGTGAAGTGGAGAAGGAGAAGCTAGGGCCGGCACTGACCGGGCATAATTCGGAGGCGATCAAGTCCCTGGCGCTCGAAATCGGCGATGACTTCGTACGCCCTGCGCTGCTTATCGGGAGCCCAATTCTGAATAATGTGCAAAATATCGATTCCCGATGGGTTCTGAGCTCTGATTCGATCATGCTCGTCGTGGCCAAGCACGGATTTATACATAGCGGCGAAATCGATGACGGGGACAGTGAGGGTGCCGTCCATGTCGAAGACGACTCCCCGGAGGCGGCGGCGGGGAGAGACGGCGGAGGAGAAATTGGCCATGGGAGTGGGGAATAAGCAGCGGACTGGTGAGTAATGGGAATGGTAATGGCGGTGACATGGGTGGTGAGGAGATAGCGTGGGATGAATGGTGGCGAAAGCAGTAGCAAGGAAAAGGATCCGATTCCGGCCCCGGCCCGGTGCCCGGAATTTCGGGTTCAATATTGGGCTCAAATTCATCCATGCTATTGCCGATGATAATCCCATTTTTCCAGAAATTGTTCAAAACATTCCAAAATTAGGTCACACTTCTCTTTCAGTTGTGCTTCTGCTGTGCCCCTTTTTTATTATTATTTTTTTCTCTTTTAACTTTTCGAGGGTTTCAATTCATTTTTAATGTTTTTATTTTTTTTTATCTTTTCGTTACGACAACATGGATGTGATTCGAACTCACGATTTTTTAATATATGTTTGAGCTATATTCGAGTTATCATTTTTAAACATTATTTAAAAATAACGTGGGATCTAATAACATTTACGATTATTTATAAGAAAAATTTATGGTACAAACAATAAAGTAGAAACTTTTTTGTCTAATCAAATCCAATTGAATGTAAATTCTGGGCATGGTTTAAAATTCTAATATTAAAAAAATATTTATCAACGAGTATAATTCAATTGGTTAAGGTATGTATCTTTCTACTAAAATATCGAGAGTTCAAATCTCCACCTTCACATTTTCTTAGTTCAACAACATTTGAGATAGGGATGTCGAACAATTAATTCAACTAATATCCCACCTCTTTGATAAGTGATATATGCTTTGACCAATAAAGCTATGTTTAGGTTAGCTTCACCTCCGTATTAGCATTGTTGAGAATCACATAAAATAGTTATTAAAAGAATACTTACGTGCGTCAATTAGATATTACAATAATATGAGTATGGGTATTCAAACACACGACATTTTAATGAGAAATACATATTTTAACTAATTAAGTTAAACTTAACTCACAATCATAAAGTTACTACAGAACCGATTTGAAAATAATACATTTAAAAATAATGATGTTTGATATTTCTCACCTCAATCATGTGGTCATAAAATGATCATTGTGGCCAATAACAGAACCAATAAGTTTTTCTTTTCTTTTATTTTTTTCATTGTGTCAAGTGTTAACCAAACTACATAAATGATTAGATACAATTATCGAGATGAAGAACAGCAATCAAAATCTCGTTCGATTGTTCAATACCTTGGTCATCCACAAGTCATCAAATCATGAAAAGTCTTTAATCACTTGCAGGTTAAAATCCTTATTTCCTTTTAATTTTAGACTATCAAACCCAAAAGTCTCTAGTTTTCTGAACATATAATAAATATATGACACTTTTTGAGCAAGAGAAACTATTAGAAAAGACGGTCAAAATGTGGCTGACAATTTTACACTGTTGGATTTATTAATTTGCATTCAACAATTATTAGAGAACTGCCACATCGTGTGACTAATGGATGTTGTGACGGATAGATTCATCTCTTTACATCAACTTGTCTCTCTAATAAAGGAATTACCCTAAGTTGGACCTCCCCTTCAAGAGAATGAATTATATAGTTTATCTTTGAACTATCCTAAAAAAGGCAATTATATCTTACTGTCTTACGAAAAAATAYCATCATTCAAAGACGTGCAAGTATAAAAACATACTTCATACTAGTTTTATCACTGGGCCATAACGCAACATATTAAAAGAAAACAAGGCTTGATTTGGGTTGGTCGCGTAGTAAGGTTGTTATAAAAACTTACAACACTTAAATATTTAAGCATTAACAACTTAGCTCAATTAGTCAAAATACTGTCTAAAAAAGTTGTGAATTTGAATGTTCACCTCTACTTGTTGTACTTGAAAAAAAAAATTATTTAAACATAATAGATAAGTTTGATATTAGTMTGAGCATATGACATAGAACAAATAAAAGATATTAAACATTATGGTACCATTCAATTTACAAGGCCATTGGAAATTGAATTATGACTAATAAATGAAGGTTAAAGTACAAGTTTAACCTCTTAATTTTCAAAGTTCTATCGTCCGTATAATAAATCTCTAAACTTTCCATTTCGAGTCTAATATATTTTTTAACTTTAGAAATGTCTAATAAGACACAAACTTGTTAGACACAAGAATACTAATTAGACATAAAATTTTCAATCAAATCTTTATGATTTTAAAATTTTTAATTTAATCTTTTAAATGTAGTAACTTTTTTTTTACTACTTAAGCATGGTAAATCAACCTATAACATGTAACATGATTTCGTGAAACAACATAGCGAGAGAAGATAAGTTACCGGTTGGTCCCCATAGCAAGGTAATTTAAATTCTCCATTTCATGATTGTCATCATATATTAACCAATTTCTTTAAACAAGATAAATGAGAAAATGAGGAAAAGTTTTACAGCACTCTCGTGACACCCATTTTTTCCAATCATATTTAGAATTTTCCTTCGTAAATAATCTTTTAATACTAACTTCACACAATCTTTAAATAATAGAGAAAAAATTACGCTTTTAGTCCCTAGTCTTTAGGAATCACTTTATCTCTGAGTATCAAAAGTTGTTTAGCCCTTAAAAGTTATAGAAAATAAACCACTTTGATCGTCCCTTATATTTCATTTTTTATTTTAAATATCAACACAGTATAACAGTTCAATATTATAAATTAGTTAATTAATTAATTAATATATATATAGTCTAGCAGAGGCTATTACCAAAATTATCTATTTCTTAAAATTTGAGAGACGATTACCAAAATGATCGGAGGGATAATTGAAATGCAACTTTTTAAAAACTTAAAAACTAAGTACCTATCAATTATAATACGTGAACTAAAAGTATGCCTTTCATAAAATAATAATAATAATAACGTAGCTTATAATGAATGAAAGTAATATTAATATCATTAAAATTTTCCTTAAAAAAATAGCTAAGGTCGATTGATGTCACTTTGGACGTAATAACGAGTTTAAGAAATGTTACAATTTGTCTTTCGAGACAATAAATTTATGGGTCATAAAGTCAATGATATGAACTCATAAATTAATTAATGACTTTTTATTTGATTGGGTAGGCCATGACCATTTTGTGGCCTCTTAAATATTTATGCAAATCAAAATATTTGAATAAAATAAGCCAAATAAATTGGGAAGTTTTATTCAACCACTCCCATTTATTACTATTGTAATATAATTGACGTCACACATCTGAAAACTTTGAATTTATGGCTTTAAAAATACTTTGAGAATCAACTACACTTTATTATATTTTAGTAAATTGGTATTATAATATGCAAATATTAAATTGAAATTATACTTTTAAATAAGTGATGAGCAATAATGGAGATAATATGCTTCTTTTGTTGTAAGCAATCTATTTTAGTGTCCATACATGTAGTTCCTAGCTTTTGTTTTTAACATACACACGCCCTTCCCTAAAAAATTAAAACAAAAAAACAAAAAAAGGTTAAAAAGTTAAAAAAAAAATCAAAATTAGTTTAGTGAGTGTTTGTAATTTTAATTGGAATCCAAACAAGTGGTTATTACTTAGAGAATTTTTTCTAAATTTAGCTAAAATTTAAAAAATAGGCACAGTAGATAATGAGCTTCAGTAAAAATATATGATTCATTTCATAGAAGTTTGATTCTACTATATTAAAAAAAAAAAGATAAAATAGATTAATTATCTAATTAATAACTCTTTAGAAACCGATATTCACATTTCATGACTTTTTGTCTCTTGTCGTAGGAGTTTTGTGTGAGAATTCGACATTCTTGAGAGGAAAAAATTGTAATACATTTTCTAATATTTAGGAAAATTTTGAGAGGAAAAATGTAATATTTAGGAGATTTAAGATAATTTCGATAAGTATTACAATTTTTGACATAGCATATGATATGCCTCCCACCCAATATACATAATTTTCTTCTCCAATGGATTTGCATCATAAATACGCGAAATTATTATTATTATTTTCATGAAAATTAATGTTTTGGTCTAACCATATAATAAGAATTATGAGTTTGTAATACTAATTTTAAAATATTTTTCAATTTACAATATTGAAAAAAAGTTTACATTGTCTTTTTTTTTCTTTTAAGGAAAATCATCTTTTTATTATTAGTTAAACTTTCAAATATTTTATTTAATCTCTAAATTTCGCATATTTTTTTTTTCTAAATCATTTAACAAAAATCTAAACATGAACCTACTTTTTGTACATTATTTGATTCTTATATATTTATGGTGGACAAATCTTTTGAGTCATATGTTGCAAGTAGTTTCATAATATATTTAAAACTTTATTAAATATCAAAACATTATTTTAAAAAAATTGGAAGTTCATACCCTAAAATATAATCTTTATTTAAAAATCCAACCCCGATCTATCGTACACTGATTTGTACCAAAAAAAAAAATTATATATATATTAAGGGAAAAAATTTTGCACAGAAAAAACCATGGGCTTTCGTACAAGGAATTTATTTAATTTATTTTATATTATTAAGTTTGAAGGAATATTTAATTAATTTCTTATTTTATTTTACTTTATTATTATTTTCAAGGAACAAATATAAAATCTCACGTCTAAGATCAAGCAGAACAAAAACAAAAGGTCTGCCAAAAAAAGAACAGTAGAAAAAACGACCACACAAAACTAAGAACAAAAAAAAAAATCAAACTACAAATTAGAAAAAAAAAATTATCAAAAGTCAAAACATAGCCTCAAAGGTTAACTCTTGAAAGTTGGAGCATGAACATTATAATTTCGCAATTAAAATATTTTTCGAAGTCGGCATTGTTTGACTTTGACTTTGCATTAATGACATAAGAGCGTGGGTGATTTGATTCTTTCAAAATTTAAGATTCCAAATATTTTCTTGTTTTGCGCCAAAAGATTCCAATATATTATTAATTATTTACTCCACATCCACACTTCCCTGACAGCTATGAGCTATCTCTAAGAAGTCCCTTCAAATAATTCATCAATTATTTTCAATAAATCTTAATAGGTCTGGTTCCGATTCATTACCTTTTTTAGTTCATAAAATTTTAAAATATCTACTTTACCCTTTAAAAGTTAATTATTTTGATTATTACCGATATTGTGATAGGACTCGATGATGCATCCATAGTAGATCTTGGAATGTTTGAGCCCATCAACTTTGAAAAACATGTAATTAAATTCTAAACATAACAAAAATTTACTTTGAAACAAAATCTCACATTAATTAATGAATGATGGATTAATCTATGGTATATAAATGAATGACAATATCTCTAT